TTGCAGCCATTTGCTAAAATCAATTAAATTCATTTTTTCCTCATTAATGTACACACAGCTCCCCATATTGATAGAAAAAACACTGAATTTTAGAAATGTATGCAGATTTATTAAAGACAAACTGAAACATCACATGGTCCTAAGTATTCAGACCCTTTGCTCAGTATTTAGTAGAACAGCCTTTGAGTGAATGCAGCCATGAGTCTTCTTGGTAAAGTCGTTTCTTACACCTGGATTTGGGGATCCTCTGCCATTCCTCCTTGCAGAGCTGTCAGGTTGGATGGTGAACGTTGGTGGACAGCCATTTTTAGGTCTCTCCAGAGATGCTAAGTTGGGTTTAAGTCAAGGCTCCGGCTGGGCCATTCAAGAGCAGTTAAGAGTTGCCATGAAGCCACTCCGTTACTTTAGCTGTGTGCTTAGGGTCATTGTCATGTTGGAAGGTAAACCTTTGGCCCAGTCTGAAGCCCTAAGCACTCTGGAGAAGGTTAATTTCAAGGATATCCCTGTACTTGGGCGCATTCATCATTCATCGATTGCAACAAGTCGTTCTGTCCCTGCAGCTGAAAAACACCCCCACAGCGTGATGCTGCCACCACCATGCTTCACCGTGAGGACTGTATTGGACAAGTGATCTGCAGTGTCTGGTTTTCTCCACACGTACCACTTAGAATTAAGGCCCAAAAGTTCTATCTTGGTCTCATCAGACCAGAGAATCTTATTTCTTATCATCTCAGAGTCTTTCAGGTGTCTTTCAGCAAACTCCATGCAGGCTTTCGTGTGTCTTGCACTGAGAAGAGGCTTCCGATGGGCCACTCTGCCATGAAGCCCTGACTGGTGGGCTGCAGTGATGGTTGACTTTCTACAGCTTTCTCACATCTCCTGACTGCATCTCTGGATCTCAGCCACAGTGATCTTTGGGTTCTTCTTCACCTCTCTACCAAGGCTCTTCTCCCACGGTTGCTCAGTTTGGCCTGCTCTAGGAAGGGTTCTGGTCGTCGCAAACATCTTCCATTTAAGAATTATAGATTATGCGCACTGTGCTCTTAGGAACCTTAAGAGCAGCAGAGATGGTTTTGGAACCTTGACCAAATCTGTGCCTTGCCACAATTCTGACTCTGAGCTCTTCAGAAAGTTCCTGTGACCTAATTAGCTCTGACATGCACTGTGAGTTGTAAGGTCTTTTATAGACAGGTGTGTGGCTTTCCTAATCAAGTCTCTTCAGTGTAATCAAACACACCTGGACTCCAATGAAGTTGTAGGACCATCTCAAGGGTGATGTGTTTCACAATCCCACCTCTCGCGTCATCAGTTGGTACATAATGCTGCTGCACGGCTGCTCACTGGGACGACAAAGATGGAGCACATTACTCCTGTGTTGGCCTCACTGCACTGGCTGCCTGTTCATTTTAGAATCCAGTATAAGGTGCTTTTATGGGCTTTAAAATCTTTGCATGGCCTTGCTCCTCATTACACCTTTGAGCTACTGTTTTTTTTTTACTCCCCTGCATGGTCTTTGAGGTCGGCTGATAGGATGCTCCTGGAAGTCCCAAAAACAAGACGTAAGCTCAGAGGTGACAGGGCTTTTTCTGTAGCGGCCCCTAAGCTCTGGGATGCGTTGCCTTTGAGCATTAGGTCGGCCTCTTCACTGTCTGGTTTTAAATCTCTTTTGAAAACCTATTTTTATGATTTGGCTTTTAACTCAGCATGAGAGTCTTTTTAATGTTAGTTCTTAAGCTTTAGTTTTTATGCATTTTTATGTTGTGTATTGTTTTTTAATGTTTTGATTTCTGTGAAGCACTTTGGTCAGTTTTATACTTTTGTAAGGTGCTAAACAAATTAAGCTGCTTTGCTTTGCCATGATCAGAAGAAATGGGAAGCACTTGAGTTAAATATAATATTACATATAAATATAAATATTGAATGTCACAGCAATGGGTCTGAATACTTAGAACCATGTGATGTTTCAGCTGGTCTTTTTAATAACTGCAGAACTTTCTAAAATTCTGTGTTTTTCTGTCAAAATTGGGTGCTGTGTGGACAATTAAAAGGAAAAATTAATTAAATTGATTTTAGCTAATGGCTGAAATATAACAAAGAGTGAAAAATTGACAAAAGTTTGAAAACTTTCTGTACCCACTGTACTTTAGGCCCTAGGCTTTTTCTGCTTCACCTGTTTGTTCCCCAAATAGGAGACACTCGGGCTCGAAGGGTTAAATATTCAGAAAATAGAACATATTTATATTTATACATTTTTGCTGTTCTATACTAATTTATTAAATTTCAGTTCTCCTTTTCAGCTTCTTGGACTGGACTTTTCTGGATACCTGCAGAAAATCTGTTTGTTTACATTTTTTTTTCACACGCACTAAACACTGAAAGCATCATAAATCTTTTGCACGTCAGATGAACAGAAAAGCCGAAAGATTAGGAGACAATATAAATACCACTCAGAGATAACGACAGACACTGAACACATACAAAATATCATGTACTTTGCCTCTGTTTCCTCCACCTTCAACTTTATTTCATAAATGAATAACTTCACACCTTATTGTTTCTGGAAACCATTTTTGAAACAACTTTTTATTGCAAAAATCTGAACCTGAGCTAATCTCTCTCATTCAATTAAAGGCTTTAAAAACAGTTCAAGTTTCAAAGTGATCAGTGAAGCATCTACAGCTTTAGATAATATTTTACCATGCAGTGTGTTTGATCTGTGGGTGTTTGTGTGTGCATTTTATGAGCCGTTTGCATCCTGGCTCAACTTGTTTATGCAAATGTGTGAGAATGAAGGAGTGCGTGTTTCCATAATGGCTGAGAAGCAAATAAACCCTCCCTTACTGATAGTTTATGTGCTTTTATATGAGTCACATTCTTCTATTTTTACTTTATTGTGACTCATTTTCAGCGGCAGTAACTTCAGTCATGGTCACTTGTTCTGTCTTGTAAATGGCAGTGAGATAAACACACACAGTCAGCATGTGGCTCATGGTGATTTCACAGTGAGTTTGTGCTGAGGTGCGTGCTACTCAAATAGGCACTCATATTAGATTATGTTGACTTCCTGTTTGTTTGTGCCTGAAGTCTCTAATCTCTGAAGTGAAGACATTTGTGTTTGAGGAAACGTGTCTGACGTGGTGCTGGAGTTTAAACAAGATTCAAGTAGTTTTTGAATGGAACAAAGAGAGGGTTGAATATTTAAGTTAATCATGTGACTACTGGAAATTGACTACAGCTGTGTACTATTGTAATGAGAAACTGTATAGGTTTTAGAAATAATTTCGATATACAAAAACGTTAGCTGTGTGTGTGTGTGTGTGTGTGTGTGTGTGTGTGTGTGTGTGTGTGTGTGTGTGTGTGTGTGTGTGTGTGTGTGAGAATGAATGAATGAATGAATGAATGAATGAATGACTGGTATAAGGTGCTTTGGAGTCTTCTGACTTGAAATGATGCAAAAAAGTGCAGGTTCTTAATCATTTTAATAAGTGGAAATATATTTTACTGTTTATTACTGTTTCAATGTTATGTTATGTAAGGTTAGGTTAGGTTATGTAAGGTTAGGTTAGGTTAGGTTATGTTCAGGATATTCGTTAACAGGGCAGCATGCCATGGGGCAAGTACAATCTCCTGATGGGGACATTATTATTTGAAGTATTACATCCTTAAAAAATATTTTAAAGTTCTTTGCAAATTTGTAAAAGTGGAAAAATTAAGTAATTGTGAAGCTTTGAAAGTTACATTTTAGAACATCACACAAATTAAACTTTGTTTCACTGAAGAGTGATCTTGATGCATTTTTAAATCTTAGTATGCTGAATACATAAATTTACTATATATATATTTTTGTATGTAACAGAGATTTAGAAATGTTTCAAGAACACAAATTTTTCTTCAATGAAACAAAGCTTGGTGATTTGTTGCTTGGCAACTGTCTTAAAGTAATCCCATGCCAACATTCATTAGCCTTGATTTTTGTAGAAAATTTCCTCATAATCTCACATAAAAATATAATTTTGCATTCAGCTTTTGACATCCAAGTTGTTCTTTTTAATTGATTTTTGTCAAACACATATTTTAGTCTCTGGACAACCAAATTACGCAAGAATTAATAAAATGAGCGTGTACAAAATTCACCAACTGAACCATCAACTAATAAAGTTTGTTTATTATCAACGTGTGGTTAATCGCTTTATAATAGTGTTCTGCAGAGAAACAACAAGAAAAGTGAACATTGATAGGCTAAAATCTGTAATTCAGACAAAGTCAACAAGTTGCCCCATAGACATATATGATATAAACAATATGTTTCTTGTTCGGGGTTTACTTTGTTGAAGAGCAACTAACCCGCTGCCAGAGTCTTATTCCACTCCCATTTTCTGTTTAAAAAATGTGCCACAAGGAGGCGTTGCCTGCAAGACCGAGAGGGCGGAGCCTCTAACACACACACACACACACACACACACACACACACACACACACACACACACACACACACACACACACACACACACACACACACACACACAGGCTCACAATGAATGGCATTGTGACATCATATGGTACCAGCTAACGCCATAGGCTACCTCCAAGGCAACAGCAATGAGTTAAATTCAAATGTAGTGCAGAGTTTTTACCTGAAGAGGGCGCAACACTGACAGTTTTCGGCAGAATATTTAAATTTTAACTATGCACTAAAGAGCCAAAATATTGACTGGTGCCTACAGCATGATTAGACACTCGTTTATATAATTTATCAGCAAAGAAAAAAAAGTTGATTTGGGGGCAGGGCGACTTGCTCTTTAAATAAAGGTACAGATTATTTGGGAAACATTAACGTTTCTGATTGTTTTTCTAACTTTTATTGCTGAGTCTACCCTGTCCTGTCCTCTGGAGTTGTCTCTCCGTCTCCTGTAGGCGGGTTTTCCGCCAGCAGGGTTTGGTTGATTCTGTATTGATTTGTTGGAGAGGAGGAGGAGGAGGAGAAAGTGAAAGGGGAGTGGAGTGGAGGAGTGGAGAGAGTGGAAGAGAAATCCCGGTTTACTGAGAGATAGTGATGTGATTGTGGGTGTAGGACCAGAGGAGAGAGATCCGAATCTCTGGAAACTAGGGGGAGCGCTCCTAAATCACGTGGGATGTGGATTTATGGTGGAAAAAAGTAAAAGTGCCGTCGAAGTGACTTGAACGCACTTTGTTTTCCTCCCGTCTGTGGCTCTCCTGCTCCTCCGCCCTGCATTCCGCGAAGCAGCTGCGTTTTAATGCCCCTGCGCACCCGAAAAAGAGAGGAAGGAGAGAAGAGTGAGGAAGAAGAGGCAGAAACAGAAGTGGAGGAGGCCTGGACACCTCCCCGCATCGCTCTGTGGAGGTCTGTCACCTCTCCCCTCCTGGCCCTGCATGGACGGGGATGGGGAGAGCCGGATGCTGTTACCGCGGGGCTGAGCGCCTCGCTTCACCGTCTCTGGTGCGCCGCTTCCGGCCGCTGCTGCTGCTGATCATCGCTGCCTGCTGCGGAGCTCACATAGGTAACTAACTGGAAACACTTCAACTGTCAGTATGTTTTGGAGTCATCATAGTTAAAACTGTTTCATTTTGCACTAGTTTCCACACATAACACAATCCTCTGATTTAATTCTTAATTTTAATCTTAAACAGGGATTATTTACTGTTTGTTTATTTGTGAGAATTTTTTGTTCTATCCTTGCGTCGGGCCCTGACAATAGCTCTGTCCAAAGCGGCAGTGCAGCAGTCTGAGCACGGATCGAGTTTCTCCTCCTCTCTCCTGGGCCGTCATTCTCCTGTCTGCCCCTTAATGGCTCATGGAGGAGGGGAAGAGAAGGGAAAGAGGGCGACCACCTCTCCTTGTGACTATACACAACAGACCTACTGAATCCTGGTGACTTTAGAATACAAATGCACCAGATATACTTTTTTATTTCAAAATGGTTATTACGTTCAAAGTAAATGTAAATGGAGTTTTATTTATTATAATGATGTATGTGGATCACGCTTTTTTCTCTGTGCTGCAAAAACATCCAACACGTCATTTTCCCCAGCATTTTTATAGCTGTGTTTGTGAGTTTCTGTGTGCAGGGGGTCGGCTGAAGTGGTGGCTATTTGTTGGGCAGTCACACCTCCTGTAATTAGTTTACCAGGACTCAGGAGCAGGGCAAAAACCACCTCCACACACACACACACACACACACACACACACACACACACACACACACACACACACACACACACACACACACACACACACACACACACACACACACCAGACGTCCCTACTTCACATTAAAACCTGTAACACCACATGTGCGTCACCTGTAGAGAATGTTCATATTATTCAGCTTGATCAGAGAAACCTAATGTTATTGGCCAAATCAGATGAATGTTTGTGGATTTTCAGACATTTTTCAAAAGCTGTCAGCTCCATGCGTTTGGACAGGAAGTTTCGAGGAGTGTCTGAATTAAGAGCTGGGTTTAGTCAAGTGTGTGAGCTGTGGTAAAGCTTTGCTTCTGCTTGGAGGGCCATTTGTATGATTTGAGCTCAGAACGTGAGAGAGTGCACACACAACAAGGTGATCAATAAGCACTTCACAAGCCTCAGTTGAGAGATGATCCCAGTAGATCCTCTTCTGATCTCCGGGGATCGGAGGAGTTGGAGGCAGCTCGATTGGGAGACAAAGAAGCTCTGAAAAAAAAAATCAGATTGTGGATCTTTGACCTCTATTTGATGGTGAAGAAGGTGCCCCGGGATGTGGGAGGAGAGGAGGTGGAAAATAAAAAGGAGGACAGGGCTTTAATCTGAAAATAAAACCCATCTGATACGAGATGTTTCAGAAAGTGCTACTAAGAGAGGAGAGGAGGACGGAGAGAAGAAAACTGGGATGAATTTTGCAGGCAAGACTGACTCCTTTTGTGTCTGCGTTACTACAGGAGAGAATACACACGAGGCTCTGAATGAGCTGAACGCCCTCACATGTGGAGTTTTTTATTCTCTTAATAATCTGGGAATCTGTTGATACTAAACAGAGATTTCTTTCATCTCTGTTTAGTATTCACCACCTCAACCCGATTTAATTTCCTTATTGACATTCATAGATTGGATTTACGTTTCAAAGTACAACTTCTTTATGCTTAAAAAGATCACGGAAATCTGTGAGGAACAAAAATAAGATAATTGTGTTTTAAACTTTTAACAAACTAGAACTTAATTAATCTACATTTGAAAATTGTCTCACAGAAAAAGTTCCTCTTTAAAAGTTAAAAGCTTGAACTCGACTGCTTTGGTTACAGAAGCTGCTTCTTTATCCCTGCACCCTTTTCTGAGAAAGCGTTACAGAAAAACAGCTTAAACTGCGTTTGTAGCTCGCTCTGATTGGATGGGATGCAGTTTTTTAGGTGCTGCAGGCGTGATCGGAGGGAAAGTGGGATGCTTTTTGACACAATGTGCCCTCAGTGTGTTAGTATCTGTGGGTTGGTGTCAGTATTTAACAGGCAGGAGAGAGATTCTGAAATGTGGTGTGAGTGGAGGGGTCCACATCTGCTCCCTGACTTTTAAAACTCAGAGAAGTACTGCCCCCAAATGGTGGCACCCAGCTCCATAAAACAGCAGAGGTGCATAGCCATGTTTTTTCTTTAAAAAAGAAAAATTTACTTTCTATTTCTCCTTAGACATTAAACAGTCAGACCCCTTTCAAGATTTTTGATTATTTCTGCTCCAATTTTACATGAGTCTATGTGTGGCTGCCCACACACACGCAGGCTGCAGAGCCTTTCTATCTGGCCTAATCTAATAGGAGCACACTGTGACTGATGCATTAGGTCTGCTCTCTAATCTCTCGCTGCCTTTAACTCCCTTTCTCCCTGATGATCAGTGATACAGAGGCTGGTTTGACCCTCGTTCCACTCAGAAATGTAGAAACATATAACAGCTCATGAACAACTTTAGACCGAGACATCTGTTTACGGTTAGCATGATGTTGAATTTCTGATTAAAAAGGACCAAATCAGACACAACTTGATAACAGATCAGTATTCACAGCACCGCTCCATAACCTCTTTAAAGTGCTGCGTGTTTTATGTGCTTCTTGGCTGTACAGGTTGTGTCTTATCACTCCTTGTGGAAAAAATTACTTCATCTTTCCTGTTTGACTGCTCTGGTGGTTTATTACAGTCCAGGTTTATTGGGCTCACAAAGCGGCACTGCCGACTGATCGAGGTTTTCAATTGGCAGTTTGATCTTTTTTTATTATTATTGTTTTATTAGGCTGAGCTAGAACAGGCTGCTACTATTGTGAGTTTAAGATCAAAGCTAGCTCTCCTCAAATGAAAACCTTATCAGTCACGTTTGATCAAAGACACTTTCCATTTTGAGTTAGATCCGGTTTATAATCAGGGTTAAAAGCTACAGTTTCAGACCTTGTTTCTGATATTCAATCAGTAACTGTGATTTGGTGTCTTCTTCAGGCCAGTGCCAAGTGGCTACCACACAGTGTCGCATCCACAAGTGCACCACCGACTTTGTCTCCTTGACCTCCCACCTGACGTCTGCCGTGGATGGCTTCCACACAGAGTTCTGCAAAGCTCTCCGAGCGTACTCGGCCTGCACCCAGAAGACAGCCAAGTCCTGCCGAGGAAACCTGGTCTTTCACTCAGCCGTGCTCGGCATCTCAGACCTCATGAGCAATAGGAACTGCTCCAGAGATGGGCCGACTTCCTCCACTCACCCAGAGATCCACCCTGAGCCCTGCAACTACCACAGCCGCACCCAGCACGCCCATACACACCCTCACGGGCACGCACACATGCACTCTCACAGCCACGGCCACTCTCGTTCTGGTTACTGGTTCTGTGGGCTGTTTGGGGACCCACACTTGCGGACATTCAAGGACAGCTTCCAGACTTGTAAGGTGGAGGGGGCGTGGCCTCTGATTGATAATCACTACCTGTTGGTGCAGGTCACTAACGTTCCTGTAGTTCCTGGCTCCAGTGCCACGGCAACCAATAAGGTGAGAATGTAAAGAAAAAGGAGTGATCTGTTGTTTTTGAGTCTAAAGAGCTTCTTAAGTGAAAGCAGCTGATGTAATTGGGGTGATTTCTTTGTGTGATTTCCAGGAATCACTCTTCACTTACTTTTCTCATCAGTTTGGAACTAAAAAAACACTCTTGCTACACACTGTCTATGCTGTGTGTGTGTGTGTGTGTGTGTGTGTGTGTGTGTGTGTGTGTGTGTGTGTGTGTGTGTGTGTGTGTGTGTGTGTGTGTGTGTGTGTGTGACTGCCACAGACTCCCAGGTGTGAGGAGAGTGGCCTCGATCTTGTGACTGTTTCTTGTGACTGCATCAGTGTTGCAGACCTAACTTGGTTAATGGCTGCATGCGGCCTGACCACTAGTAATGTGGAGCGAGACGTGTGAAAGGACCCACTGTTTACTCGTGTGTGTTTTGAAACACATTTGCGCGTGTGTGTGTGTGCGTGCGTGCGTGCGTGCATGCATGTGTCTCATAAGTTCATAAGTGGCACTCCTTGCTCTCAGCTTAAAGCACTATGTGTGTTAAAAGGTCCCAGTGCAATGGGAAAGACACACACACACACACACACACACACACACACACACACACACACACACACACACACACACACACACACACACACACACACACACACACACACACACATAGGTGCAGAACACTAAATGGATGAGGGGCCACACAAGGTGATCTTTGTGGTGTTAAAGAAGCGATGTTGATGTTTCCCCTGATAATCTACTCTCTCTAGCTCAGTCAATAGCTTTAATTATTAAAGCACATACACACCCGTGCATACACGTATTCACACACACACATAAACTCACACAAGCGCACACAGGTTTAGAGCAAATAGTAGGATTTCTACACTTTGCAGCTGAAGGGTTGACCTTGTGTCAGAGGTGGGGCGAGTTATTAGTCACTATTACACACACACACACACACACACACACACACACACACACACACACACACACACACACACACACACACACACACGCACGCACGCACGCACGCACGCACGCACGCACGCACACACACACTCACCGCCTTCTGTACACCCACATTAACAGGCCTTCAGGCTTAATGGGCTGCCAGGTCTCATTCCTCATGGCTGTCATGTGAACAAAGCAGCCATTCACCGGAACTACGATGCTAACGCTAACCGTAATGCGCACACCCCACCCTTTATCCAACACCGCGTCCACACACTACCAGAGTGTGGGTGCGGGTTTGTCCGAGTGTGTGTGTCTGTGTGTGTGCGTGCATGCGTGCATGCATGAGCTTGCCTGTGTCAGCATGTTTTCATAGCTGTGTCAAATTACAACTTGTTAAAAAGTCATTAAGTAATTTCTCGAACTCTGGGCGACTTTTACCTTTACCCATCCTGTCTGTGTTGGATCTTCCACCGGGTGATGAGGCACCGCTGCTAAATCTAAAATGTGATTTATTTTAAAATTCTCCCAAGATTTTCAATGAAATATTTAGAAAACAAGTGTTCTAATTTTTTTCTTCCTTTTTGCAGATTACCATCATCTTCAAGCCGTATGAGGGCTGCACAGATCAGAGGGTCTACCAGGCTGTCACAGACAACCTTCCTGCTGCCTTTGATGATGGGACGGTGAGCAGTGGAGACCCCATCCACAAGTCTCTTGGAGCAGATGGTGCAGCTGGGAAGGTCCGGGCTCTGTGGATCTCTGAGCGCAGTCCTGGGCGCCATGTGGAGCTGCATGCTGGATACATCGGCGTAACTATAATTGTTCGCCAGTTGGGACGCTACCTGACGCTGGCGGTGCGGATTCCTGAGGAGCTGGCTCAGGACTACGATGACACCCAGGACCTTCAGCTGTGTCTGAACGGCTGCCCCGGCAGCGAGCGCATCGACCAGGCGGGACATCTTCCCCTCCCGCTGTCTCCTCCAGCACTCGGTCTACAGCGACAGCAGTTGCGTCAGCCCAGTTTCTCCTCACAGACACAAGCACATCCCTATGGTGCCACGCAGATTTTTGGTGTTGAAGGGGCGAAGGAGCGTTGCAGAGAGCAGCTGGAGGTGCTGGACATTTATTTCCACTCTTGTGTGTTTGATCTCCTGACCACCGGGGACGCTAACTTCACAGTGGCTGCATACAGCGCTCAGAAGGACATGGAAAGTCTCCATCCACACCAGGATCGGTGGAGGATCTACCCCCGTGGTTCTGCCACATCCATCTTCCGTTCTGATTCACAGTCTATCAAACATTTCACTCTGCTCCTGCTGTGCGCTTTGAGCTCTGTTGTGGCGTCAGCCAGTATGTGTGCCTGAATGCATGTAGGCCCATGTTTGTGTGTGTGTGTGCGCGCGCAGTAGGAAGAGAGTTTAGGACATTGTTTTTGATTGTTTTTGCTGAGCACTGATAATGAATACTGATGCCATTCTCATGCAGAGAGGAGGCAGCAGGCGGGACACTTACTGGGAACTGGAAGTCGTTTAAAAGAGGCGATGAGCCCCCCTCCCAGTGTGCACAGGAAAACTGTCTGTCAGAACCAGAATCAGAAAATGCAGCCGACAATAAAACCAATGCTGTTATTTGGATGAATCGACTGTAAATAGATCATTTATTTCTTCCGTGCACATTGTAATGATGTTGATGTTTTTTGATTTGCCATTTGATGTGATTTAAAAAAAAAAAGTACCTCAGACAGAGGATTTTCTTAACAAAAGCACTTTATTTTAACATTTTATTCCACACAATGCCAGTCAGTGTTTCTTCTTCACTTTCTGCCCTCCACCAAAACTCACAACTGTTCATATTTTCTCTGTATCTCGTTGTTCCATCACACTTTTTCTTAAAGATAAAGTCATTTGAATGGTTGGAGCTGACATTTTGGTTTAAATGCACCATTCTACCAGTAGCTGACTGGACTCAGTCAATGTGAGGTTTTCTGTTGAATGTATTAGCTATGGCGTTGCAGCAAACGCCATCAGTACTTTGTTAGTAAATGGTTTCAAGTGTGTGTGTGTGTGTAAAAGTGTTTAGACTTGTCAGGTTCTTTATTTGAAAGCAGCTGAAGAATGTGGCTTCGTTTCACGTGAGTCACATTAGAAGTATTCCAATCGTTTTGCCAAATTTAAGTGACTACACTATCACGTTTTGTACTCGCCGTATTTTTCTGTTACAATTTGAGCCAAAGACCGATCATTTATGTTTCTCTGTACAGGAACTCTCTACCAAACCAGCATCTGTATCCTGTTTGTTTTAAATTAGCTACTTGTAATCTGTTTTCTCCCTATTCCGGATGTTTCTTATTAAGATGCATGTAAAGCAATGCAGGAATAATTCTTAAAAAAATGTCGGATGACTGGGAAAACTTCACCTTACTGTGCTGTTGTACAATTTGCAAGCGCAGCGTTGATGCCTGGTAGAAAATTCAACCCCTATAAATATGTAACATATGTAGATCAGTTTAAGTTTTTCACATTGTGATCTCTTTTCATCATGTGAGTGTCAGTTTGGTGAAGAGTGACTGGTCAGTGTTGAAATAACTAACTTATTTATAAACGTAGTGTCCCGTAGAGGAAGTTAAGCTCCATATTCTTGCTGTTGGATAATTATTTAAAAGAAATGTCAGCTGTGATTGTACTGCCACCTAGTGGTGCGCTCTTGCTTTGTCGGTGTGTTACTAAAGGCGCTCAAAATCAAACAAAAAGGAAACAAAATGTGTGCTTGTGTTTTATTTATTACAATAAAGTCAAAACGGTTCATGATGCTTAACTTTAACATTTAAGACTTGTAATGAAATAATAGACAAATCAAGAATGCCAAAAACAAACAAAAAGATTTTTAAAGAAGGTGTAAAATTGACCAGATCTCTCAGTTCTTTTTATTGTAATACAAGATTTGGATCATTTCGTACTAACAGAACTTTCACACACAAGTTTAAACACACACACACACACACACACACACACAACAGATAGAAGCATTAAAACACCTGTGTGAGGTTAGGCTTCGATCAGATACCAGGTTTGGCCTCACAAACACAATCTGTTTTCAACTGCCACAGTCAGCGACACCTGGGCCGGGAACAGACTCAAAAAGGCGCCACTGAGGATTTTTAACAGCTAAATCTTCAAGTTCATGTAACTGTACTGAAAACCCACATTCAACCCATCTTTATGAAGGCACTCATGAGGATGAGAACATCTTGTAGGGTGGAAATCCTCTCAGCTCGACTCAGAGTCACATTGTGCATCAGCAGCTCTTTATTTTCAGATGTCTGAAAAGTCAAACAGAAATCATTAGTCCATTTGAAAGAAATTATATGAAATTTAACTGTTTCTAAAACATTCAGATCAATCAGTTTTGAAAAAAGCACAATGAATATTATGGCCACATATATATATATATATATATATATATATATATATATATATATATATATATATATATATATATACATATATATATATATATATATATATATATATATATATATATATATATGTGTGTGTGTGTGTGTGTGTGTGTGTGTGTGTGTGTGTGTGTGTGTAGGCACCCTAACAGAGGAACTATTCTCACCACTTAATAGCTGCATAAACGGTCAACAGGGTGTTAAAGACCATCATCTTCATGAAAAGCAGCCTTAAAGCTAAAACAAGCATCGTGTTCGTCCACACAGCAACATCTGGAGATGAAACCACACAGATCAGCATCAACATGTGACACAGAAGTGTTTTTGAGACTGAACCGACTGAACCAGCTTCTCTACCTTCTCTTTCTTCATCTTCATCCTCGTCTTTCTGACAAATCTTGTCTGGAGTCAGAAAAGGATTTTAAAAGTTTACAAGATGTTTATACAAAATTCAGATAATTGATGCACATGTGAGGTTGTGTACCTGAAGAGTGAGCGTGATGCCCTCTCTTGATCTTGGAGTGTTTTCTCTGACTCACAGAGCAACTGTAAGATGGCCAGTCTCTGGTTGCCACGGTGATTGTTGCCACGGGGTTGTGGCCGTGATGCCTTCTGGATACAATGGCACTGTGTGGTGCAATAAACATGTGGTCCTTTGATGCTGACCTCCAGCTGATCTCCAGGTGACCTCTGCCAAAGTCACTCACCATACAGACCAGCAGGGTCCAGCCAAGCCTCTCACCTGAGAGGTGGACTGGTGGGGCCAAAGAGGCCAGCACAAGTCGAGCCTCCACCCCTCCTGAGACAAAATGAGTAGAATAGAAAATCCCTTTAATGTCCTGCACTGGGTAAATTCTGGTGTCACAGCATTACATGCACAAAACATATAAATGAGATGATAAACCTAAAACAAAAGTGTGCAGAGCAGTACACGAGCAGGAGAAGTGAGAGGTGATGCGTTGTAATTATAAGTATGTTTGATCTGGATAAAGATTCTCTAATGCAATTATAAGTTTTATGTACGGCAATACTTTTCCTAAAACAAATCAGTAGTAAGATGAGCGTTAAGTTCACAAGGGATACCAGCAAAATTTTATGTTAAAAATTACACATAAAAACTTAACTTCCCATTAATTACTTTATTTAAAAGTGTTTAAACTCTTACCTGTCCAGAAGTAGATGATTGGAAGATAAATCAGACTCTTGCGTGGCTCAGTCATTTCTACCTAACAGTTAGTGTGACTTTTATGATCCTGATCATGTGTGTGCGCGCGTGTGTGTGTGTGTATGGGTGTGTTAAATGAGGGCATGCCATTTGGCTTTGTCAGGAGCATTGCATTGTGGGGGATTGACTGTGACCTTACACTAACAATGGAAGCCCCTTACACACCACACACAGAGAGAGAGAGAGAGAGAGAGAGAGAGAGAGAGAGAGAGAGCGAGAGAGAGAGAGAGAGAGCGAGAGAGAGAGAGAGAGAGAGAGAGAGAGAGAGAGAGAGAGAGAGAGAGAGAGAGAGAGAGAGAGAGAGAGAGAGAGAGAGAGAGAGCAGGACACTGAGGCTGGGGCAAAAAAAATAGGTCCAGCATTTTAAAGACTGTGTGATGAACTTTCAAAAAGGTCAGAAAGAACAACGGGAGAGACTAAACAAAGCGTCAACGCCGTCTGTGGCCAGCTGAACTCATGAATACACTCATAGTGGGATGTGTTTCACATCTGAATGTTGAAAACTTATGAAAAATTTATATTAAAAATTAAACTTAAGAATGCAGAGTGGCTTTTGTTGGTGTTTATGTTTGTTTATATACATTCGCGGACAATTTGGAACTTTTTCTTTTTATAGAAGCAAAAACAAGTTTTCAATTTAGTATTTCTTTAAACTTTTTGACTTCTTGGTCAAATTGAAGTATTTTTTTTACTTTGAAACTTTACAGCAGTACTTTTTTTTGTGAAAACTGGAGGTAAACTGGATGGTTGAACACAAGGGTAATAATTGAGGATTAATATCTTCTTTGTTTGTTTGCTTCAGCAAAGATCAGCTTCCTCTGATGACAACAAAAACAGATTTGAAGAAAATAATGACTAGTTTTTAAGCTTCAGATTGTATTTATTTTGAAATGACCGTAATCTGACCGTCACTGCAGCATAATCACAGATTAAACGCCTTTGAAAGAGATTATCAGTAAAACGTTTGGAGCTAAGATTCACCACACCAGCCTTCAAATGAAATAATTAGTTGTTTGTTTTGAGCACAAGAAAAGTTTCATTCTTGATCTCCGTGGACCAAATTAGTGAAACTAACGAGGTATTTTGGAATGACTTTGGAATGGCTTGATCTCCTGGGAGAAGCTGGTTTTGGAGTAAACATGAAGCAGACCCTCTACTGCACGAGTCGGAGCATCGGGTGAGCCGATTCACTTCTGCAAATGCTAAAAGTGATGAGTTGTAACTCAAAGATCGAAGAGCTTTTAATCAGACCTCCTAACAGACGATTTCAACTATGTCTTCTCTCCAGACTGTGTTGAACAGCTCTGCCATCATTCACCCTCCAGGCTTCTACATCACTGGATTTGAGTCTTTTCCTTTAATCAGCACATACTTCATCTTCATGGCGTTTGTTTATGTGTGCACGGTGCTGTTTAACTCTCTGCTCATCTACATCATTGCTGTTAATCATTCTTTACCCACTCCCAGGTTCTTGGTCATTGTCAATCTGTTGGTGGTGGATCTGTTCCTGAACAAGTGCACCATACCTGGCATGATAAAGATTTTTCTCATCAAAGATAACTTTATTCCTTTTAATCTGTGTTTTGCCCAAATGTATATTTATTACGTATTAGCAGAGCTGGAATCCATCGCACTCACCATACATGCTTACGATCGGTTGATTGCCATTTGTTTCCCTTTAAGGCAAAACTCAGTCAACACAGTGCGGAGGATGGTTGGTATCATCAGCATCACCTGGTGTTTCTGTTTGGGTTCCACTGCATTTGTCACAATTATAATGACTCAACTGTCCTTTTGCAAGTCTGTGCAAGTGTTCAGTTATTTTTGTGACTATGCACCTGTGTTTCGACTTGCCTGTAACGACTACTCCTTGCAGTGGACTGCAGCATCCGTCCTCTCCATGTCCCTCCTCGGAGGTCCCTTCACTTTCATTCTCTTGACCTACGTCAGCATCCTGGTGACCGTGTTCAGGATGAAATCTGTGGATCATCGACCAAAATCCTTGGCCACTTGCGTGGAGCATATTATTGTTGTTGCTGTGTTTTACATCCCTCTGTTTGTTATTTTCAATATTGGGTTTTATGTAGGAGCGGTGGACCCAGACCAGAGGGTTCTGAGCCTGTCCCTGGCCTCCTGCATCCCTCCTTGTATTAATCCCGTTGTCTATTCTTTGAAAACCAAAGAGATCAAAATCAGAGCAATGGTGCTGTTTAGAGTAAACAGAGTTAATGCAAACAAATGATGATAAAAAACACTAAAGAAGACCACAGATTTTAAAACTTCATGCAAGTTCCTCCTATGTGAAGATCAGAATGAAAAAGTCTTTGATTTCTTTGTCTTTTGAACAGAGAACGGTGCATTTTCTTCAGTGTAGTTCCAACTTTCTACTTTCAGCTACCACTACAAGAAACTCATGCTGTACATAATAATTTCCAGTTGAACTTTAGGAAGATCCGTTCTGCTATAGCTGTAGATTACTGAATAGAAGCAACGCTGTTTTTCTCGTTTTCTTTAAATTTTTTTAATATTAAACATTTTTTAGGTACACCCTATATACAGTAGAGCATCTATCATACTATAATATAATACAAAAAATAATTTTATCCAAAATTTACCAACACAATAAAAAATATCTATAACTGAATTCTGATCCTTTTTGTGTTTTAATACTTTTAAATATGAGAATTTGCTTCAAAAAAGCTATTTACATACCTAAAGTGCGCAAGAAGGATTTAACTGTAATTAACAATTTTATTTCCTAAATATTAACAAGCATCAATGTCCAGCACTTGATAACATCCTGGTTTTACAAAAGATGTTTGTCCAGATGTACCTCAAGGATTAAAATGGCAGTAGACAGTAATAGATTGCAAAGTTTCAAAGTTTGTTTTAATGTTATTGTACAAAAAACTTTAAGGAATTGAATATTAACTTGCAAAAACTTAATCTGTGACTTCACAGTTTTTAAAGTTCCCCTTCTTTCTATTTCTTGGTATTTTTATTTCAGTTTTCTAGAATTTTGTTGTCACATTTTTCATTAAATCACAGAAATACTACCAACACCGATAAACTGGAATAATGAAAGATGATGTTTTTATGATAATAATAATAATAATCATTATTATCATTGTTGTTGTTATTATTATTATATTGTAACAAATGTGAGTTTTCTTGCAAAAGTCCATTGAACATTGTATAATCAGGCGATGAATGCTGCTCTCTAGTGGTTAAAATGCGCATTGCACCATAAAGTTAATAAGAACAGTTGTTCACCTGCTGCAAGTACAAATGGGACTTTTTAACATAAAAATCATTTAATATAAGCATAATGACCACTTGTCCAGCTTTTTTCTAGACCAATTTCCTTAATGCATCAACAGCATACTGCAGCATGGAAGTCAACGCAGCGAGCTCTCCAGCTGTATGGCGACCTAAGTGGGACTTTTCAATCAACAATAAAAAAGATTTAATTCGGTTTTCATTCAGAATGCTATGAACGAGAAAGGTAAAGAGGATTTTTTATGCAAATAAACATATATTTGCAGGGCTAGCTAGTGTAGAATACTGAAGAATTGTGAGTTAAAACCTCAGATGACCTGACCATTTGTACCAAAGCCATTTCTGAAAAAGGCTTGAGTGATTTTGTTTGTTTTCCCATGGGGTATTTTATTGTATTTATACGTTCACACACACAGAAACTAGCCCTGTTCTGTAAATGGAAATGCCATAAAGCACCCTTCATTAGTGAATATTTTCAGCTTGTTAGCTTTGTATGCTTCTGTTAACCACTAAGTTTCCACAGTTATATTTGATGAACATTAACTCATTTAATCATATCACTGAGTGAAATTGATTATCTTCTTTATCAGTGGTCCACAAGCTTTTTTATGATCTCTGAGTCCCACCTTGTTAAATAGTACAAGTCTGATTCATTAGTGCAGTTTTCCTTTTACTTGGTTGATGGCCACACAAGGGCGTAGGAACGGGGGGTGGGGGGGGGGGGGGATTGGTGGAACGTGTCCCCTCCAACATTGGACAAACACGCATTTGTCCAATGCAGGGCTGGCTAGTGTAGAATACCGAAGAATTGTGACTTAATTGTATTTCTGTTCAAACGTTAGACTGGCTGACTAATGTAAACATCTTGCTAGGCAGCATTAAACATTAAACAACACTACTAGTCAACAAAAAATTGTGAATTTGACAGTAACAGACAAAAACCATTTGACACAAAATAAATAAAGTAGAATCTCCACATAAAATTGAATTTGTAAATGTGATTGTTGCTTGTTTGTGACATTCTCATCACATTTTACACACACATTTTATTTTTAAACCTTATTCATGTCACTTTTTTCATATAAGAGACCAGAGGAAGTTCAGCAGGAAAATGATGAAGGTGAGACAGGCAGTGCCAGACCTGCTGAGGGTGAGACAGGGAGCACCAGACCTGCTGAGGTGCAGGTAGGTGCTACAATGAAGAGTGAGGTTTTAGATGGTTGATGATGAGAGGAAGATTCGAGCATGATAACAAGTGAACACGACTAAATAATATTATAACAACCATGATTTTAATATTGCACTTGTCCTCCAACAGTATTTTTTACTCCTTATTCTGTCACAATGCGGTGTCGGTAGGACCCAAAATGCAGGAACCCAAGATGACTCGAGGCAGGAGGAAATATAAGAAAATATCCTTTATTTGGATGAGCCCAGAACAACAAAAATAGATCCAAAGGCAGGGAGCCAATAAGTCCAAAAATGTTCAATAACTGAGCTAGAGACAAAAACACAAAAGACTAGAAAAGACTGAGATTCAAAATGCTAGAGACTAGAGAAGGCTTGACAGAATACCACAATGGACCGACACAAGACAGAGACAAGACAGGGCTTAAATACACAGGAAGGAGTAATTAGGGAAAATGGCAGCAGGTGTGTGGAGTGAGGGTTGGAGGGAAGACAGGTGAATATGATAATCTAACTGGGAAAACAGAAACAGAGGAGGGCAAATACCTAAACACAAAACTAAACAACAATTATCTAAAGACAGAGGGAAGGGCTCAAACTATGCACACACACACAAACACACAAACACACACACACACACACACACACACACACACACACACACACACACACACACACTGAGTTGGGGAGGACACACACACACACACTGAGCTGGGGACAAAGAGGCTGGAGCTGACCTGGGAGGACACACACACACACACACACACACACACACACACACACACTCACACATACACTCACACATACACTCACACACATACACTGAGCTGGTGACAAAGACGCTGGAGCTGACCTGGGAGGACACACACACACACACACACACACACACACACACACACACACACACACACACACACACACACACACACACTCACACACATACACTGAGCTGGTGACAAAGACGCTGGAGCTGACCTGGGAGGACACACACACACACACACACACACACACACACACACACACACACACACACACACTCACACACATACACTGAGCTGGGGACAAAGACGCTGGAGCTGACCTGGGAGGAATGATTTAAAAGGGTAACAACATAAGACACTTAACTGAGACGCAGACAAAAGACACATGAGGGCGCTATGAGACACAGAAGGGAATCTAGAGAGGGAAGGAGAAACATCAGAAGACACATGAAGGAAGACACAGACGCAGACTATGACATATTCATGTCCACTGTTTTTATATTAGAGATCAGATGAAGTTCAGCAGGAACCTGCTGAGGGTGAGACAGGAAGAGCCAGACCTGCTGAGAGTGAGACAGGGAGAGCCAGACCTGCTGAGGGTGAGACAAGGAGAGCCAGACCAGCTGAGGGTGAGACAGGGAGAGCCAGACCAGCTGAGGGTGAGACAGGGAGAGCCAGACCTGCTGAGGGTGAGACAGGGAGAGCCAGACCAGCTGAGGGTGAGACAGGGAGAGCCAGACCTGCTGAGGGTGAGACAGGGAGAGCCAGACCAGCTGAGGGTGAGACAGGGAGAGCCAGACCTGCTGAGGGTGAGACAGGGAGAGCCAGACCTGCTGAGGGTGAGACAGGGAGAGCCAGACCAGCTGAGGGTGAGACAGGGAGAGCCAGACCTGCTGAGGGTGAGACAGGGAGAGCCAGACCAGCTGAGGGTGAGACAGGGAGAGCCAGACCTGCTGAGGGTGAGACAGGGAGAGCCAGACCTGCTGAGGGCGAGACAGTGAAGAGTGAGATGATTTTAGGTTGCTGATGAGAGGAAGATTTGAATGTGATAATAAGTGAACACAGTCGAATGTATTTAATCCCAACAAGTAGAGCTGGGCAGTACGCCTTAATAATAAAATAAATGCTTCCTTAGAAATATTAGAAAAATAAGTGTTAAACTTTGCTTTCTGGCACATTTAGACTGCAGTTTTGGCCATCTGAAAATTAACGTAGTTCCAGCTGTTGTTGTAAGTGAATTATTTCTTTTTTTTCATTCAGTCAGAAACAAACAGATTTTTCTGATTGTTGGTCAGCATTGTTGGCTGATGTCGTTTAAAATATTCTGACGAGAGTCAGATCAATTCAGACTGAATATTCACAGCTTTAGTCTTGTATTAAATCTTTTTACACATCTCTATATGAATAAGATAATATATCCTGCATTCATGCTATTAAATAAAAATATATTCTGATGAGAGTCGGATCAATTCAGACTGAATATTCACAGCTTTAGTCTTGTATTAAATCTTTTTACACATCTCTATATGAATAAGATAATATATCCTGCATTCATGCTATTAAATAAAAATAAAACAGTACTGACACATGAACAGCTTTTTTATAATTAAAACGTCCACGTTGGCCGGTAATCACCTGGATCTGGCTGATGGGGAGCCTAAGTCTCCTCCCCTTCTGGCTGGCTCATGGGTCCCCGATCAAAAAATAAATATACAGGATGTTAGTGTACTGGGCTATAAAAGTTATTGTCTTGTCTTTCTGGGCTTTGCCTTATGCCCTGAGTCACATCTGTCAGACTTTTCTAATCCTAGAGTTTCACCATCTATCAGATTTTCTATCAGTCTCCTACCGCTATCTCCTGCATTAGCTTCTATGTTCAGGTTCAGCCTGCATGAAACACTCAGTGACATGTTAGAATCAGAAATAATCATTAAATGTATTTTTTTCAGTGAGGTTGACCTATATATTGACCTACAACAGATTTGTTAGATTTCCAAAATGTGTCCCCCCCCCCCAATATTAAACTCGTTCCTACACCCTTGTGAACACATAATCTCTCTATAAGGGGTTTATATAGGTCAACTTAATAGAAACACGAGAAATCAGCCTTTTCACGTCTGGCAATGGAGTGTAAGGGTTTTTCTGCCTTCTGATGGACACAAGCTGTTACTACAGCCTATTTAAAGTTAAACAACATACAATTCCTGAGTGTTTGCAGCCTCTTTCAAAATAAAACAAGTCTTAAACAGGACCAGTAGAGTTTAAGGTTGTCACAACTGGAGGGCAGCAATCCCCCATCTCCCCATCTCTATTGAGTTGTTTAAAGAAGCAACTTTTTCATATTTTTTAAACATTTTCTCAGAGCCAGTATGTGCTAACATGACCCTTTTCAGAGTTAATTAGAGCACGTGAGGAATCAGAAGTGTAATAAAGTATGTGAAGACATGTGTGAGAGATGTCAGCCCTGGGTGATAATGTTCAAAACCTGATATTTAAATACATTTCTAAGCCTTGTTAGTGCCACCTACTGGTGGAGCTGAGTATTGCACTCTGAGGTGGGCACGCTTTGAGTAGATCATCAGAGATGCAAGGAGACTGAAAACGAACTAATATCAGAGTAAAATGCGAACAAGGCTAAAAATGGACTTGTGTATTTATTTGAGTATTATCTTCATTGTATATTTATCTGTGAATGTAATTGACTTCGTTTGTAAAATTGATTATTTGCAGAAGAGAAATAAACATTTGTTTTGGATTTGTGGTCATTTTGCAACTGTTCATTTGAATACTTACATTGGACTAAGAAGGGATATGTTTCCAAAAGCCTTTTTTTGTCACCAGCCATCACGGAGCCTAACTAGTTTTTAAAATACACTCAAAAAAATATAAATGCAACACCTTTGTTTCTGCTCCGATTTTTTATGAGATGGACTTAAAAATCTAAAATTCATTCCAGATACACAATATTACCATTTCTCTCAAACATTGTTCACAAATCAGTCTAAATGTGTGATAGTGAGCTCCATCCCACCTCACAGGTGTGCCACATCAAGATACTGATCTGACATCATGAGTAGTGCACAGGTGTACTGCCCACGATAAAAGGCCACCCTGGAATGTGCAATTTTTTGCTTTATTGGGGGTCTGGGGACTCAGAACCAGTTAGTATCTGGTGTGACCACCATTTGCCTCATGCAGTGCAGATATGTATATGTCGATGTGTGTAACACAACCCAGTTTGTATTGTTCTGGATGTCAATCTGGATCTGCACTGTGCCGGTGAAACAAAGAGTTGCTCGGATTTTCAAGGCAGAATGGTTTTGGAGGATCTGCCGGCTCCGTGTAGACTGTGCTGGTTGGACCTTATTCCATTCTCCTCGAGCATAAAACAGAATTCTGACCTCTGTCTCTCTCTTCCTTGTGTTTGTTATGGTGTCTTAGGGGTTTTAACCTGACAGTGTGTGTGTGTTCTGATCATACGTGTGTGTGTGTGTTCTGATCATACGTGTATGTGTGTGTGTGTGTGTGTGTGTGTGTGTGTGTGTTCTGACCATACGTGTATGTTCTGAACATGTGTGTGTGTGTGTGTGTGTGTGTGTGTGTGTGTGTGTGTGTGTGTGTGTGTGTGTGTGTGTGTGTGTGTGTGTGTGTGTGTGTGTGTGTGTGTGTGTTCTGACCATGTGTGCTCACTAAGGCTGGAGACTGAATAGTGATGCAAAGGGGCTAGCGTGTCTAGAGAAGACCACAGCAACCTCCCTGAGCAGAACCTATATGTATGTCGATGAGCAGAACCCAGTATCCATCACTGTGGCAGACATCCAACTAAAGCCCCATTCCCATCTGTACCGGGTCGGCCCGGGCCGGGTAGCGTAGGTTGTTTACATATCTGGGTGGCCTGGAATTTTCCCGGGCCAACCAAGGCTCATTTTCGGCCCTCTTCCCGAGGGGTACTGCTTCAGGCCGACCAGGGCCAACACACCCACTGCTGACAAGAAATTCACACCTTCCATTAGAGCAAGCCTCTGATTGGTGGGTAGAGTCAGCCCATTCACACCTTCCATTAGAGCAAGCCTCTGATTGGTGGGTAGAATCAGCCCACATGGGCTTAAGACAAGGATGTGTGGAAACAACCGGGCCAGACTGGGGCCGACTGGGGCTACCCGGCCCGGGCCGACCCGGTACAGATGGGAATGGGGCTAAAGAGCCTCAGGACCTGACATGATCCATGCCTACTGGCTTAAGAAGCTCACTGCACTCCACGAGTGCCTGGCAGCACAATTGAAGCAGCTGCTAAAGGATGGGACTCACCCTGAATAGCTAGCTGACTTGGCTAATACCAAGAAGACGCCACTGCTGTTCTGCAGAGGTCAGATCTCCGTCTACCAGAAAATCCACAAGACTGGCCATGGATAGCACTTCCTCTACACGGAAGACCTCGATCTCACTATCCACATAGGTCTAATCTTTAGGTGTTTGAATCGCGCTTAGTCCGACCGCCTACCTGAGACCATGTTGTCATGGAGACCCTCACAGGGGCTAATGAACCAGACTACACAGCTTCCAGGAATATGGAAGTCCTCAAACCCTCCCACCACGATAAGGTGGCGATTCTGCGGGAGGAATGTTTTTTTTGTGTGTGTGTGTGTATTTTTTAATTCTATTTCAATTTATTTGATAGAAAAACATAAATTTTACAAAAATATTTTTTGTTGTTGTTGGTTCTATTTTTTCTACTTGCTTGTGAAATCTAAACAGCTTCTCGGTTCTAAGCATAGACTGTACATTGTTCTAAGTCACCAAGTGGGCCTAAACTTATAGACATATGTGTACATCTACTTTCTACTAGAGATGTTTTTACTTCTTAAGTGAAAAAAAGTTAATTTTCTTCTACCCCCCCCCCCCGTTCATTCCCTTCAGGTATTTCCCATATGTGACTGACGCGTTAGAGTTGCTTGCTTGTGAGGATTCTGTATCTCTGCCAGAAACCAGAGAACTCTGAGTTTTGGCTCCTGTGACAGAGCTTCCACTTTTATTTACTCCCGAATTATTTTCTGCAGTCACTGATAATTTATCTTTAATCTTTTATCCCTTATTTGTCCTCTGATGATGCAAGGGTGGGTCGTACGAGACCCTAGAGGACGTGCTTTTATGAGCTTTATCCACACTTGACTTCTCATATGAAGATTTTCCATCTTTGTCCTCACCTGAACTTACCTTTGAAACCAGAGATGATTCAATGTTACTTTCTTTTCTTCTCTTAGGTGTTTTACTTCTCTTAGCTAAATCCCACAATGTTTGAACTGTATTTTTATCAAATTTTAACCCACCAGCTAATTCTTCTTCAGTGTCTGACCGATCTATGTTTGCATCATCAGGTTTCACAAACGCATTTCAGCACTTTCCTCTGAGGCTGAAGACTGACTGTGTGTGTGTGTGTGTGTGTGTGTGTGTGTCACACACACACACATATATATATATATATATATATATATATATATATATATATATATATATATATATATATATATATATATATATATATATATATGTGTGTGTGTGTGTGTGTGTGAGAGAGAGAACTATATAAGGTTGTGAATACGTAAAAATGTCTACCGGCGTGCGTCGTTACGTTTTTGCTCTGGCTCCACCCCTTTATGAAATATCCAATCAGGTGTCAGTATTGTAATACAATTCGACGTGAACACGTTGTTGTCAACAACAGCTGGCTAGAAGAGAAGTGTCAGTGGATGTTTTGGTAGTTTGTCCAGCTCTTCGGATTAGTTTCACGTTTTTGGCGAATGGAGTGTAGATTTTGAGACCTTATAATGACCGGTTTGTTTTAATTAGCAGCTATGGTGATAAAATGATGTGAAGCGAGGCTAACGTTGGCTGGCCGAATGTTGTTCAGTCAGAAGTTGGCTATTTCCGAGCTAGCTCCTGCGTAGTTAGCTAACGGTGGTTCAGTGGGGATAGGCTGCTATTATTGTGACCGTCCAACAGCCTGCGGAGGATTGTGGGCAGCCAAAAGACATCACGACTGTTAAACGTCCTTGAACGTTCAGAGGTCTCTCCATTATTGGACGCTAAGGAGTCTGAGATTTAATTAAAATGGATCTGTTTGAGGGTAACAGTACAGGTAAGGACGGTGATTACAGCAACACTGAGCTAACACGGCAGTAGGCCAGCTAACTGTCAGTAATAGGAGGACATTTAAAAATCATTACACGCCAAAAAAAAAAAAGTTTTCTAACTTATTAATTTATTGTAAACAAGATTGAAATTCTCTTAGAGAAATTTTTAATTCACTTTCCGGCTCAGACTGGACATACACTGACATTACTCAAAGCACATGTTCACACCACCGTTTAGTTATTTTGATACTAGCTTTTCATTTTGATTAGTTTTAAAGTAGTTCTTCTTTTAGTTCATAACATGTTTTATGGTCGTAGTGCGTCCAGATCTTTAGAAACAGAAGACATTATAAACCCCATAAAAGCTCTCATGCAAGCAAAACATAATAATAAACACTCAAATCACAGCAGTTTGACTTCCCCTTTTGTCTTGTATGAGTGATCGTGGTCATGACTTTGATTTTTTAGACCAAACATAAAACTTGAAAGTCCCGTTTTGATCTGATAACAGCATGAAGGACCTGTTCTATACCAAACATCCTTCCCTTTGGAGCCAGTTATTGTGTGTTATGTATCTTGTTGCACCACAGACACACCTACCCACTCAGTTATATATACGGATTCAATGTCTGAGTGAACATAAAGAGACAACCTGGAGATAACATGATTTTCTGCTGTCATTACAGTCAGGTTTATTGATAACTAACATAATCACCACCTTTTCCATCCAAGTAGGCCATTTTGCATTTATAACATGTATGATGTCATGACACTAAACTACAGGGGGCATAAATTCGCTGTCATTAAATTGCAATAAAACTTTCTATGTGTTATTTTTACCATAAACACTTCTGAGCATTAACTTCTAGCTCTGTTCATATTATTAGACATTCATACCACAGCAGTGTAGTCCAGACAGAGTGACTTGTGTTGATGTTATGTCAGAAACATTTCATTCAGCAGACAAAAACTCAAGATGATGCACCTTTCCCATTTCTCAGCTGTCTGACATGTTTGTGGATGTAAAATTCAGCACTATTAGGTAAACATTGTATCTACAAAAGGGTGTTTACAGTTTCTCCTTGTGCTCATCACCCCAAAAAAGCATGTGTGGATTGTGAAGCAGAATGTGAGGCTTGCAGTGCACTGTGATTTACTACACGTGTAACTTAATTAGGGAGCTGAACATGCCTCCGATTGTTTCAGAAATTACTGAGAGAAGAATCCGAGTGCCTGAAAATGTCAAATTAGGCAAAACAAGGCTTTATTCTTTCCCATCTTGCTGATGTAGCATGTAAGTCTGAGGAAGTGAAGGTTTTTGTGTGCTGCAGTAGCATGTGACACAGCCGGATGATGATTTTTTTTCTTCTTCTTTTTGCATTTACCTTTTCTTTCTGGAAACTTGGGGCAGCATGTGCATAAACTCACTAACTAAACTGTCGAGACAAAAGGATGAGAAGATGGTTCAATCAATTAAAAAATTCTTGCAAGCTTGACAAACCAGTTCTTTTAGTTCATTGTGCCACATAAAGGTGGTAGGAGGTGAAACAGGAAACTGCAGAAACCCAAGCAGCTGTTCTTATTGTAAGGAACATTCAGAAAAACAGCCTATGTGCTGAAATGTCTCACTGTGCAGATGTATTTCATACATTCTTTTCTCAGCAAACTCCGGTCCCTTTCTAAACACTGTCTCAGAGATTTTGTTTCCTGTGTACGTGTCGCAGAGCGAGCGAACCTGCCGAGGAACATGATTGAGAACAGCTTGTTTGAGGAAGAACCTGATGTTGTGGATTTGGCCAAAGACTCCACCGTGTTTCCAGTAAGCTAGTTTCATTTGCTGATTATGTAAAAACTTATTAATACAAAGTTTAAATGTTATAAGAATTGTGTTAATTTTGTAAAACAACTTCTGTTGTTATTTTAATTTCTTCAATTTTTAAAATTTGTTTGAAAGAATGAAATTAGATACCAGCGTTTAGCATTAATGTTATAGCTGGGAAAAACAGTTTTACACAAGAAAAAATATCATGTTAATGTTCTGCCTCTTATCGGTGCATTCATAACATCTTTTTCCCGTGCTTATTAACTTACCAGGGAATGCAATCTAATTTTGAACGCAATGCAGACTTTTACTGGAAACAAATAGAGTTACCGTTAAATGCGCTCTCTTCTCTCTCCAGGCGTTCCCTTCTCTTGACCCAGATGAGGTAGCGTATGAGCCTCGTAGCTCACGGTTACTAGTGCGTGGCCTAGGAGAAAACGACCTGGATGAGGATGAGGAGGACTGCGAGTCTTCGGCTCGTCTTCTAGGCATGTCATTTATGAATCGTAGCGCTGCTCACAGATCCAGCTCCTCACCTTACACCAGACAGTCTCCCCCCAGGTAAAAACGATAAGGAAGTCATCGTTTGTGATGGTATAACATTTGTTTTTCTTTGTGTTACATCTTTTCTCAGCTGTACTATCTTCCATTCTGAGTTTAGTCATCATCGAGACTTGAGTTACACGCCCGTTAAGTGTCAGTTGCCAGGATATGTAACATTTTGAGTTGGAGCTGCAACATCTCCTACTTTTAGTGCCTGAAGATACTCAGAAAACTCAGGTGTAGATGTGTAACCACCAACACTCCATCAAGCTAAAACCCAACTATCTTGTTTTTGTTTTGCTGCAAGCTGAAATGTTTGTTCTTTACTATCCAAAAATAATTTAGTTCTCCTTTGTTTTTGTCTCAGGTCATGTTCTCGACCTTCAGCCCGTACCATGGTTGTGTGTGTGTTAGTTCTAGTGATAACGGTGTCTATGACCATGGTTCTGTACTTCTTACCTGACTGCACTTTTACCAAGGTAAAACTGTTTTTAGTTCAGTTTGGCAAAGTTTGCACCAAGTTATAAATTCAATTCACTTATAAATTTGTTTATTTTATTCATTATGCTAATTCAAACTCTCCTGTGGTTCAATCGGACTCTTTCTCTTCCTGCAGGCTGGATGTCCTAAATCTAACCAGACACAAAATCAGACGGATGAGGAAGTGTTTCCATGGGCTCAGTTCCGACTGCCTCGCAGCATAAACCCCCTCAGCTACGAGCTCACCTTGACCCCCGACCTTGACAACATGACCTTCACTGGAAGAGCGGTCATCCACATGTCTGTTCTTCACAACACAAAACGAATTGTCCTGCATGGTGTTGATCTCCTCATTCACAAAGCTACATTCAAGGTTTGATTGAACGAATGGGGTCCGCGGTGTTATCGTCCGTCTTGGTGCTCACTTGTGTTTCTCCTCCAGCTGGGTGATGAGCCTCCGCATGACGTGACTGTACTGGAGAGCAAACCCAGACAGCAGATTGCTGTTAAGTTTGAGGAGGAGCTGAAAGTGGGCCAGCTTTGTGTTTTGACTTTGGACTACTTCGCTAACTTCTCCCACACGTATGATGGTTTCTACAACAGCTCGTACACGGATAAAGATGGAAAGAAAAGGTACACTTTGATTGTACGTTTAATACGAACAGAAGAAAGCTGGAAAATGACTTAATTCAGCTCCTGATGACAATGAAATGAGAAAACAACTGGAAACTAAATGCGTTTGTTGCCTTTTCTGCTGTTTTTAAACTTAATTTTATTATTTCTGTCTTTAGGGTCCTCGCAGCAACACAATTTGAACCATTATCAGCCAGAAAGGCCTTTCCTTGCTTTGACGAGCCATCTTTCAAAGCCACTTTCCTGATAAAAATCAACAGAAAGCCAAACTTCATGACACTTTCCAATATGCCCAAGGTATTCCATGATGACTTATTTATTGCAGTTAATTCCCACTGTTTTGACCACTTGACATTTTTTCACCTGTGAAATGAGATTTTTTAAACATTTTTCCTGTAAGCAAAAGTTTTGAAATACGTTTAACCCTCCCACTGTCCTAATGGGTGTGACCCGGTGAGGGAAGTTGACCATTGAGCAGGGTTGATGGTTTATCCGTTGGGTCCACGTAGCAGGGGTGAGGAGTGAGCACCACCTCACCCCTGCCACGTGGACCTCAAAGGATAAACCATCAATCCTGCTCAATGGTCAACTTTCCTCTTGGGGTCACCCATAAAGACAGTGGGAGGGTTAAAGGTAATACTATATTTTCTCTCAGAGAAGAAAACCTCTAATGATCAAGGTTTATGTGTGCAGAACATTTACAGTTGTGCAAACCACCTACAAGTGCTGAACACGAAGGCAAAACATAGCAAAAAATTGTCCATAAAAAGACAAATAAAAGTTGAATTACTAAATCAGATGATATAGTTAATGTTTTGTGTAGTGAAGAAGGAACATTGTGTACTGAAGTTTTTGTGAACACCCTTGTCTAGGTTAGAGCAGCAGGTTAATGTTAACAAGCTTCCATGATGATTTCTACTAACTACAGAATTGTGTTTTTCAGGCAAGAACCACAAACCTCTCCAATGGCCTCATGCAGGACGAGTTTGAAAAGACCAGTGTCAACATGAGCACCTATCTGGTGGCCTTTATTGTTGCTAACTTTATCTCTGTCAGCAAAAATGTTTCAGGAACCATGGTAGGCTTACAAAGGACTCATGTTTTACAGTGTAGAGGATGTGTGTGTGTGTGCTGTTTATTATGTCCCAGTCTCTGGGTTTTAGGTGTCCGTCTACTCTGTGCCGGAGAAGACGGGGCACACTGAGTATGCTTTGGAAACCGCTTCCAAACTGCTGGAATTTTACAACAATTTCTTTGAAATTAGCTACCCTTTACAGAAGCTAGGTAAGCAAGCACCTTCACATTTCATTAGATATTTGCAAATAGCGTTTATTAATGAGAAGACGCTTTCTCTCTACTTCTTCTCAGACCTGGTAGCCATCCCGGACTTCCTGGCAGGTGCCATGGAGAACTGGGGGCTCATCACTTTTCGGGAGACCACCCTGCTTGTTGGCAAAGACTCCTCTCCTCTAGAAAAACAAGTCGTTGCTTCTGTCATAGCACATGAGCTCGCACATCAGGTACTTTTACTTTACTATTTTTCTCCAGTAAAAGGAGTTGATGCAGTGAACATGATCAGAGTACTGACCTGACCCTGGTGCTGTGTTGCAGTGGTTTGGGAACCTGGTTACTATGAGCTGGTGGAACGACCTGTGGCTCAACGAAGGCTTTGCAACATACATGCAGTATATGTCGCTGCAGACCGTGCTGCCAAACCTTGGTCTTGTAAGTGTAAAGAGACCGTGTGTAATGGTGTTACTTGTTCACTATCAATTCTGTGTATCCCGTTCACAAACTTGTCCTTTTTCATTAAAATTTCTCACCAACGTCTATTCTAAGTATTCTTATTAGCTTGAAATTTTACATTTTTATCAAACATTGTTGACCCTGCAGAGTTCGGGACGTGCAAGATATAATGCTCCATGTTCCACTCATCGATTCTCTCCTCTTGAAAGCACCGATCTTCGAGATGTTGAAGCGGTTCTTAGCAGCGGTCCCTCTGAACGTTGGTGGTTCTCTCTGTGGCAACCTTGTTGGTTTAGGGACATTCTGCTCCTTCCATGTAGAGAAGAGTACACATTTAAAGAAGAGACTTGATTGCTGTATCGAAAGTTGGATGTCGTTGATGACATTGTCTTTTTTTTTATGCATGTGGGCTACCGTAGATGCATTACCTGCTCTGAACTGTGTGATGCAAAAGAGTTAAATGTTTTCAAATAGTGGAGCTTTTATGAGTTTAACCTAAAAGAACCTTTTGTACATTTGTGTACTTTTAAATTAACACATGTTTTGTTTTTAGGGTAATTTATTTCTGGATGTGCGGTTCCGAGCCATGGACAAAGATGCACTGAACTCCTCCCACGCTGTTTCAACAGAGGTCAATACGATAGAACAAGTGGAAGAGATGTTTGACTCAATTTCTTATGAAAAGGTAAAATCTTCAATAGAGTAAATATGTTGCATTATTTCACGAAAATCCAACTTTAGATGTTTCTTTCAGTGACTGGACCTCACCCCCAGCTGTAACTCTAGTTAAAACTTGTTCCAATTATAAAGTCGTTGTGCTTTTGCCTTCCAGGGTGCTTCTATTCTCCTGATGTTGAACGCTTCTCTACCGGGGGATCAGCAGTTCAGAAAGGGCCTGATTCAGTACCTGAAACAGTTTCATGGATTAAACACAGCAACCAATGACCTCTGGAACAGTCTCACACAGGTACACATGTGCACACTTTTATCAACACTGTGTATCCCTGTTAATTTTAAATTACCTTTTATTTTTTATTGCTTCCATCTTTGATGTCTTCACTATTTTAATAGTTTCTCTGCCATCTGCTTAGACTGAAACAGTCTCAGGAGCTTGTTTAGAAGCTCTGCGACCTCAGCCGAGGTGTAGAAATGTAGAGGTGCTTCATCTGTTCTCTATAAACAAAGTCTAAGTTTTGATGTCGTTTGATTTTGAGGTCGTGTATTGAATGAAGTTACTCTTTTTCACTCTTTATTAGATTTAGTTCTGTCTACTTTTACTTCTAATAACTAGGGATGGGTACCTTATACATTTGAATTGATTCTGTATCAATACCCGGTATCTAGGAATTGATACTGGTACTTAACGGTGCCAATTTTCAATACTTTTGAGTATTTAAGAAAAAAAAATCTTTTAAATTTTATATATATATATATATTAGTGGTGTGCATCTCTATCTGCCTCACGATTCGATCCGATTCCGATTATCCGCCTAACGACTCTATTTGAGTCTGAAATGCATCACGATTCTTCACACAAAAATTTTCATTACTTAATAAAAGCAGTAGAATAGTTTTCAATTTCTTTTTGATTTCGAAGTCCCTGAAAAACAGAACATTCATCTATTCACTATAGTGAGCAATAATGTTTAAAGTGTGCTGCCTATAATTACTTAAATAATATAAGAAATGTTTTCGGTAGAGCAGCTTTAAGATAAAATATTACTGAACTTATAAATAGTAAACAAATACTGTGTTAAGTGATTCTTTCACATCCAGGATCCCAAAACTGAAATTAGCCCAGACATCCGATTTAAATGTAACGGGTACATCTTTGATTACTGGTAATGTTGGCCCTGTATCCCTGTCCGCCTTTTCTGTTTTAAATTGGCGCTAGGGCAACGCAGTGCGCATGTCATTGCAACTCTGTCCCCAGAAGTAATTGTAAAACCTCAAAACTT